TCACTGGCCCATGGATGATTCAGTAGTGGTGGAGACATTGTTTTCTGTGCTGTCCAACAGGACAACTACAGGTCACATGCAACTTCTGGGCACTCGAAATCAGGAAAAGCTCTGAATTTTGAGTCTTACTTATTTTAGTCATTTTAGGTTTAAATAGCCACACTTGATCATTCCACTGTTTATTATTGGGCCAGACAGCACAACTTTTAGAGTTTGAATGGAATAATTCATGAAACACACACATCTCAGCCCTGTGCCCATTTCCACTATTATTCTCAGTTTCCTATCTACAAAGCAGTTCTAGAAATCGATCATTAGAGGGGAAAAAGATTGATCTTAAAAACTCTTATTTAGAGTTTCAATTTTGCTTGTTTGTTTTGTGTCTCATATTTGCCCAGACTGGCCTGGAATATACTACTATGTAAGGATGACCTTTCCTCCCAAATGTTGGGTAACACACTTCACTGGATTTTCCAGTGTTCAAGCTTACAGTTTTGTATCATACTCCTACAATGGCTTTTTGTCAGCCATGTTAATTCTCATACTGCTTCTAATCTCTCCGTCTTCCCTGCAGTATCCCGGTGGTATTTGTGCCACTTGTTTCTTTGACCAAGCTTGTCAAGACAGCTTCTTCCACGGGATCTCAAACTCAATGCACTGTCAAACAAATGAGGACTTGAGATCTTTAAAACGTTCCCTTCATCAGCTGAAAGCCAAGCCCCACCCCTGGCCTCCGGACCTCACCTCCACCCTCATTCCCAGGATCCTCCGGCTCTCACACGTCTCTTTCCCCACACCGCATCTGCACCCTTCCTCTTTGTCTATTGAATTCTTCCTTGGGAGCTGACACACAGTCTAGTCTCTTGAAAGTCTCCAGTTGTCTCCTAATCTTCCTTCTGCCTCCCCCTCCACTCCATCACTGTATTGGTTATCTGTTGTTCCATAACAAATCATCTCCAAATTTAGCATACTGAAACAGAATTAAACACTATCCCTCTGTGAATCTAGCAGTTGCTTAGCTTGATAGATCTGAGTCAGGGTATCTCATGATATTGACTAGGGTGCCATAATTGGAATCTTACTGACTCAGGATTCTCACACAGCAGTTGGTCAGAGGGCCTTACTTCCTCCCCATTCAGACTTATCCACAGGTTGCACGCAACATGGAAGCTTTGAGTTCTCCCCCCCCCAAAAAAAAAAAGAGAAAAAGCAAACAAAATAGACCCACTGTGTCTTCATGCCCTAGTCAGAGTGATAAATTATTGCTTCTGCTCTATGCTCTTGGTCACACAGACAAACCCCCAGTGTAATATGAACTCCATCAGGCCCTTGGGAGTCACCTTGTAGGTGGATCAAAAAAGGGTTCTTTGCGATGGCTCATCTGGTAAAGGCACCTGCTGCTGAGCCTGACTGAGTTCAATCCCTGGGATTCACATGATGGAAGGCAAAAACCAACTCCTGAAAGTTGTCCTCTGACCTCCACAACATATTAAATGATAGATAGATAGATAGATAGATAGATAGATAGATAGATAGATAGATAGATAGACAGACAGATAGATAGATGTAATACAAAGAAACCTGGTATATCTGCATGTTATAATTGAGTCTTCTCAATGTTCTGAGACATGTCCTCAGGTTTTCTCTCCACATTACTAATTTTATTTTAGGCGGGGCTCATTCTTTTCTTTCTTTTTAAACTGCCTTTTGGAGATATATTTTGTTTAGAGATAGGACCTGAGCTCAAATTCAATATTCTCTTGCCTCAGCTTCCTGAGTTCTGCAGTTATAGAGAGCTACACCTGTCTTTGAAGACTGAGAATTCATAAGTCATCCTCTTTGTAATGACTGTTCTTAGTTGTCAGTTGGAATACATCTGGAATTAACTAAAACCTAAGTGGCTGGGTATGTCTGAGGGGGATTTTCTTTCCTTAATTAAATCATTTGAAGTAGGAAGAACCACTTTTAATCTGGATCTTTTGAGGTGGGAAGATCCATTTTTTAAAGATTTATTTAATTTTATGTGCCAGCATGTATGTCTGTGAAGTTGCCGGATCCCCTGGAATTGGAGCTACAGACAGTGGTAAGTTGCCATGCGGATGCTGAGAATTGAACCCAGGTCCTCTGGAAGATCAATCAGTGCTCTTAAGTGCTGAGCCATCTCTCCAGGCCCAGGGAAGATCCATCTTTAGCCTGGCCCACACCTTCTGCTAGCTGCCTATACAAGGACATGGAAGAAGGAAGCTTTTTCTCTTTGCCTGCATGTCCTTGCTCTAACTGAAAAGTCCATTCACTGGCATTAGAGTCTACTTTGGAATTCTGGTGTATACTGAACACCAGCTGAGACATTCAGCTTCAAGGACTGGACAACACTGGATTCTTGGACCTTCCATTGGTAGACAGCCATTGTTGGGCTAGTTAGACCACAGCCTGTGGGCCATTCTAATAAATCCCCCATATATATATATTCTCTAAGTTCTCATTCTCTAAGTTCTCTAAGTTCTCATTCTCTAAGTTCTCATTCTCTAAGTTCTGTTCCTCTAGAGAACCCCAATATACATTTATTTACCTTTCCCCTCTAGTTTTGATCATTTGTCCCCCATCTACCTTTTGATTCCTACTTTATTTTCATCCTTGCTAGTTAGTTTTGTCAACTAGACACAAACTAGAGTCACTTGGGAAGAGGTAACCCCAGTTGAGGAATTGGGTCCATCACACTGGCCTGTAGACTAGTCTGTGGGGCAGTTTCTTGACACAGGATACATGTGGGAGGGTCCAGCCCACTGCGAGCAGCACCACCCTTGGGCTGGTGGCCCTGGGTTGTAAAAGGAAGCAGGCTGAGCAAGCTCTGGAGAGCAAGCCAGTAAGTAGTGCTCCTCCCATGCTCTCTGCCTCCAGGTTCCTGCTGTGTTCCCA